ATTTTCATTAGAAGATATACCTATATTTAATGCACAATAATACTTTGAAAAAGAGTACCTCCAATAGGAGAATGTTTATGCGTAGGAAAAAAAGGGATTATGCATAGAATAGACCCAAATGAAAGCAAGATGCAGTGCAACAAAGCTCAAGCAATGAAAATGCATTGAATAACCTTCCAATTAAGAAATGAATATATAGCTTACTTTAACTTTGGAATTAGTATCTCCATATCATTCAAGAGCTCAAGTACAGAACAAATTCTTATCATGCCTTTATTATCTATCAATGAGTTTAATCTTTCTTCATATATTCATTCACATTCATCTCTTGTTTGTCCTTCCTTGTTTTGTGCTATTTTGTTGCCTCCGTCAAATTTGCAAAAACCATAAGTCAGTACTCTTCGAAGTCCTGAGATATCATCAAGCTTATCTATATATCTTACAGGTAATTAGATATTAACTATCTTGGAGATACGTTTGTTTTATTGATTCTTAAAGATAATTTCTTTATATTGGACGTTTTTCTTATTTATTTAATGCCACTTCGTTTGCACTTTTGCTTCTTTTACTGTATCTTCAGAAGAAGATCAAATCATCATCTTTGTGCTGATGATCATCGATTCATATTAAAGGTAAATTAAATAACAGAACTAACAGAAGTTGTTTATTTTATATGCATGTTGATAAATTACATTGCCTTTTCAAAGAGAACATATGATCTTCTTGTTTTCTAACCCCGCAGCATATGTTTGGCTATTGAGATGATAATGAACAAAATGAATGATATAAATTTAATTTACGTGTAACCATCTTCTAAATTTACATTTGATCCTTTTTTTTTCCCCCTTTGGCAGTAAATGGTTAAGGGCCTGTTTGGATTTTAAATTTTTAAAACAGTTTTTCGTTTTGGAAAACAAAAGCAATTAAAAAAACCATGTTTGAAAATGTGTGTTCATTTATTTGCTCGGAAATTTGTTCTGAAAACAAAGAATTCAGAAAATCTTATTAATATTTTGTTCCTTTTTTTCTACAAAATTAAATAACAGTCGAAGAACATTGCAATAACAATCACGGTAATACTTAGAGCAAACTATTCAATTTACCTTTCACTTTACCATTATATGTTTTTAAAATAGTGATTATTTTTTCTTTAGTTTTTTGTTTTAAAAAAATTATTCCACAGAATTGTGCTGATAATATAAAAATACATTAATAGAATCAAACAAGCCATAAAATATGGCAAGTCGAAGGAATTCAACTTTTTTAAAAGTTTGACATTATTGTAAATGACCCAAATCGACCTGTAAATATGTTAATTTGACATGTAAAAATAAATTGTTAAATTTGATGTGTAAATGACAAAATTTGACTTGTAAGCATACAAGTTTAATTTGTAACTATGATATTTTTGGGATCTATCTGTATTTAATTTTCTTACTTGGTACCTATGAGTAATTATCCCAACTTTTTATATGAAGTTTAGTGAAAGAGCATCATAAAAAAATTACAGTTTTTTGCATCTTTCTTTTTAATTTCACAATAAATTTACAATAATAAATATTTGTAGAATTCAAACTCTTTAAAATTTAAGATGGATAATATCATGGGCTTAATTAAATGAATCATTGTTTGTTTCTTTCTTGCAGGTAGGCATCACAACATTTGATTCCAGGGTCACTTAGTTTCTTTTCGTGTCTAATTTGATTATATTGCAGAGTTTGAGGTAATTAACTGAGCAAATATTTTATAATTCTTTTTATTTTATTTCAGTTGTCTGCTAAGCTTATGATTATACGATTAAAATTAATGTACATAAACACACAAGGATTTTTCCATTTAAACGACTTCTATAATATTATTTAAATAACTGTTTGTTATGTACTTTAATCTGGTCTGGTAAAAATATACTTTAATTTGGAGCTAAATTAGACAATTTTGAGAAGGAAAATACTTAGGTTGTTCTTTAATCATACATAGTCCTGTATTATATTTTTTTTATATGGGTTTATACAGATGACTTTGTGTTATCAGAAAATTTGACATAATGAATATAAAAGAATTTGATATAAGTATTGTTTGAGAAGGAAAATCAGAAATACTTTAAATCTTCTTTAAGAAAACATTTGTCCATTTTGTTATACTCCTCCGGTCTTAAATATAATATATACTTTATAGTGTAATATGAACTACAAAATAGATTTTATATTTAAAATTAAAAGGGTATTACCTTTAAAGGTATTGATTGATTTACATTGTTATCAATAATTTCTTCTAGTATCCTATAATTAATTTGAGAATTCCTGCTTTTCTTGTACTCTCATAATTAAATAGTTTCAGTTATTATCCTTCTGCATTGGTTTTTGGATCATTTCTTTATTTTATATCTCCTTTAACTCTTTTTTTTTTTAAAATGAAACATCTCGTTTTATTTTAATTAGCATGAGAATAGTAGAAGTAACTCATTATCGATTTTGATGTCATTATTTAGATTTTGTATTAATTGGCAAAAAAAACAGAAAAATGAATACTTTTTACTTGATTTTATATTTATAATATGAGAGATGCATTGCAGTTTTTCCTCTCATATCACATTATTGGGAGTTTATCTTTCTGTTACATAAATATCAATTATTACAAAAAAATTTTAATCTTGAAATATGATGAAAAATAAGTTTAAAATAAGACATTAATGAATATTTTCTAGTTTTAAATATAATGAGGTATCACTTACAATCGCTGCCTAGGAATGAGGAAATGTCTGAGCAGATTTCAAACTAGCAATCATAATGTTTCCTTTGTTTTTTCCCCCCAAAGTATAAAGCTATATTACATATAAATTCAAGTAAAGAATAATTTCTTTTCCTTTTTTATTTTAATTTTGTTTATTTATTTAAAGCCTCATATTTTCACACTCTTGTTCCTTTTCTTCTTTTTTCAGAAGCTGTTTTAATCATCATCCTTCTGCTTTGCTTGCCATTAATTCTGGTTCTGCCTTCAAAAACATCAAAATTATCTCAATTCATATTACAGGTAAATAACAGTATATAAGTTATTTATTTTACATGGCGATAAATTATGTTTCTTTTAACAAGAGAACAAAATTAGAAACAAGTGTAAATGTGATCTTTTTTTGGCAAAAACTGATTTTTTTTGGAGTCTATGATGAAAAATTTATCTTGGCATTCTTTTTGGCCATCGAGATGATAATGAAAAATAAATAATTTGAATATGGTAACAATACTGGACTAAATTTTATATGACGTCTTGTGATGTTTTGGGAAATATAGATAAAAAAATAAAAATATGATTTTTCTTCGTTCTTCCATCAGAATTCCACACGAAAAGATTTTGGTACTTATTTTCAATCAAATTAGTATGTTTTCTTAAGATATGTTTCACCCCCTGACTAACTTTTGTTGCTAATATTTTTATTTTTAAATTCATTGATATATATTTATTGGAAACAAGTAGTTCAATCATATAAGATTAAATACCTATGTTTTCTCTGCTCTACAGTAAGCTTACAGTTGTTGTGTGTATAGAGGGTTAATGTTCATTTTTGCCCTCAAGGTTTATATTCACCGAGAAAATTATGAGTATTTGAATTTTTTTCGTGCTTAACGTCACTTTAAAAGTATTAAAAAAAAAGTATCTAAAAAAAGAGGAATATCGTCTTAGTTTTTTAAAAATGTTAACAATCAAATTTCGTTTTCTTTTTAATTTTTTTTAATGTTTAGGGTGATATTGTTCCTTTTTTTTTTTAATACTTTCAAGATGATATTGAGATGAAAAAAAATCTTCCACATATCCACAGCTGTGTTTTGTAAATATTTTTAGGGTAAATAAAGGTTTATTTGGTTTTTAACCAAAATTTTGTTTGAAAATTAAAAATGAAATTTCAATGAATCTCAAGACTTCAAATTTTAGAATTCATATACACAATTTGTTTGTACTGACTGGGTGAATTGTTATTTACTATGTTTATGTAGTTGGGCATCTATTAATTTGATTTGAGAATGCGCTCCGGACATCTGTGCATTATATATAGCTAATTTCATCACGATATTTAAGGTAACAAGTGATTGTATCATAATAACTCATCCAGCCCAACTCCTTTTTTATTTACTTATATTTTTATTTGTTTTTACTTTTCTTATTATTCTCCATGATTATGATAAGGAAAGAACTGCTCGCTATCCGTGCCCCTGTGGTTTACAGCTATCCTTTCAAATCACGGGGCACAAGCTCAAGAGCTGGCATTTAAAAAAATAATAATAAGGGAATAACTTCTCAATCACCAAAGAAATTGGCACCTTTATAAAGAACTGAAGTAAAGAATTTTTTTTTCACCTTTTAACTTTATTTTTTTATCCAAAGACTCTTAGTTTCTTTTTTGAAGTAAAGAATATTCACTCTTAGTTTTATTATCATCCTTCTATTTTACTTTATATATCTATTGCATGTCCCCATCACTTTAGATGTCTCTTCTGGGTATTTATTTAATTATATACCTATATCAATTGAACAAAAAATAGTGTTGTGAATATTTTATTATTAGCATATAGCTTGCATTTAACACTAAATAATTGTTTGTATATATAGTTCTTTTAGGTGCTGCATCATATGATGGGAGAAACAGATACACCTGTTATTAGTTGTTTATCAGTTTCTTACGAATAAAACTAATTTTATTAGATATTGTCTTATACATTGTAATCTTTTTTTTCCTGATAATATACATTATATTCTTTGATTATGATTACTTGATTTATGTTATACGCATACCATTAACTTGTATTAGGAATGATTATTAACAACACTAATTCTGATTGCATTAGATGGAAGCAATTCTGCTCAGTATCGTGACAAAGTGTATAGAACGCCCGGTAGGTTCAATTTTAAGTCGTGCTAGTTATTTGTTCTGCTTCAAGCAATTAATTAGAGAGCTCGAGGTAGCAAAACATGCGCTAAAGTTTAAACTAGAAGAGGTGAAAGAACATATGGAACAAGCTTCTCGAAATAATGAGGAAATAATGCCATTCATGAAGAGATGGTTGAATGATGTGGAGCAAATTTTAGTGAATGTGCAAGAAATGCAACAAAAGGTTGAAATGGATGGAAAAGATTGTTTCAAGGTGTCACTGAGGTATTCCTTAGCAAAAGAAATGGATCATAAGGCAAAGCAGATGATAGATCTAAAACACGTCTACTTTGAAAGAGACTTTGTGCATTTCAAGTCAAGGAAATCAACTTATAATGATCTTTTAGAGGCAATTAAAGGTGGATATGACAAGATGATTGGACTCTATGGCATAAGCGGCTCAGGTAAAACAACTTTGGCAAAGGAAGTTGGCAAGGAAGTGCATGATTTGAAGCTTTTTGAAAAGGTCATCATGGTGGTTGTTTCAAAAGCTCCAAATGTTGTAAAGCTTCAGCAAGAAATTGCAGAGCAAATAGGTTTGAAATTTCAGGAGAAAAGCCCATTTGTAAGAGTACAAAGGTTATCAAATGAATTGAAAAATAAGAAGATTCTTATAATCCTAGATGATGTGTGGGAGTGTCTAAACCTTGAAGAAATTGGCATTCCACTTGTTGAAGGTTGTCACATCTTGTTAACAACTTGCCTTACAGATGTAATGGACCTTATGCGTTGTACCTGTAAGATTGAACTATCTTCGATGACTAAGGAGGAGGCATGGAACTTATTCAAGAAGCATGCAAACCTACACAACGATGCCTCAAATATGTTTGATGATACGGGAAGGAAAATTGTTGATGAGTGCAACGGGCTGCCAATTGCAATTGTAGTGGTTGGAAGTTCCTTAAGGGGAAAAAATATTGAAGCATGGAAATCAGCACTATGGATACTCCAATCGAATGTTAGACAAGGTTTAGGGACTGCTTATGCATGTCTCAACTTGAGTTATAGTAGTTTGCCCAGTTCCACAGCCAAGTCGCTCTTCTTATTATGCTCTATGTTCCCTGAAGATCAGAAAATCCACAAAGAAGATCTAATTCAATTTGGCATGAGGACACTTGACCTAGAGGAGTCTATTGTCACAATAGAGGATGCAAGGAGAGTGATTTTTGATGCTCTTCAGATCTTGTTGGATTCTTCTTTGTTAATGAGTATAGAGAAGGAAGCATGTGTGAAAATGCACAACTTAGTTCAAGAGGTAGCCTTAATGATTGCAGAGAAGCAAGGTCAAGCGATTTTGGTGGGCAGCAATAAAGTTCCAAACATTTTGCTTCGCAATCGCGAAATTCTGAAAGATACAAAAGCAATGTCATTATGGGATTTGGATGATAATTTCAATCTCTCTGATCAATTGCATTGTCCAAAACTAGAGATTTTGCTACTTCAACCTCATAGATTTATTGAAGATCTAGGGGCAATAAAAGCACTCAAAGTCTTGGCACTCAGAGAATATGGCTTTGAGGGGGGACTTCGGAAGGGCTTTGAATCGGGGTTTCAGAAGGGATCATCTGTTTGTTCAATCCCGCAATCAATTGTGTCATTAACATATCTTCACACCTTATGTATTAGAGGGAAAATATTGGGTGATATCTCTCTGTTGGGTGAACTCAAAACATTGGAGATTCTTGACTTACGTGGTTCTCTGTTTGATGAATTGCCTGTTGGAATTGTAGACATGAAAATGCTAAAACTTTTGGACATATATGATTGTCGAATTGAGAAAAGCCCTATAGAAGTAATTGGGAAATGTGAGCAACTTGAAGAATTATACTTTTTGGACCACAGATCCATCATCCCACATAATTTCTCTCTTTCAAGATTGAAGAGGTATGTTCTCTATGACTCCACATGTAGTATAATTGGTGCATATGAAGATGACCCCTTTCAAGAATATCTAGAGAGTTGTGGTGAAGCATTAAGAGCTTTATGCATACAAGGCTTTAGAGTCTCTGCTTTGAATTCATCAATGAAAAATCTCATTCTTAGAGCAAATCATCTTTGGCTAGATAATTGTGAGTGGGATCATGAAGATATAAATCTTCAAATAAACCACTTAGGGGTATCATGCTGTCAAGAGAAAAGATTCATCATTGAGAAGCCTGGTGTGAACATTCTTCAAAAAGAAGTGTTCTCACACTTGATCACTTTAAGATTGTTTGAAATGAATAGTCTTGAACAAATGTTTCAAGATTCCATACAAATTCCGAGCTTCCATAGACTTGAAGAGATTAGACTGTATAGATGCCCAAGATTAAGAAATATGTTCACTCTTGCTATTGTTACAAGCCTTCCAGAGTTGAGGAAACTTGATGTAAGAGGATGCAATGAATGGGAGGGAATATTTTGTGAACAGTCACTTAAGAATCTGTCTACTCCTTCCACTAGTGTCTTCTTCCCCAAACTTGTGACTATTCTTATATGGAATTGCCACAAAGTGAGAAGGGTGTTCTCATATTCTCTGGCATCTCATTGTCCTTCATTGAAGAAAATAACCATAGGGAATTGCTGTGAACTGGAGGGAGTTGTTGAAGCTTATGACGGTGAAGTAGCTGCTCATGATCAAACGCTGTTCCCTAAACTGAATTATTTGAGGCTCTGGGATTTGCCAAAGTTGAGAGAGATTTATGAAGGTTATGAATCCAACCACCTTTCTAGTACTATAATAATAAAAGATTGTCCAAACATATCAAAAATCCCACTAGAAGACAAGCCCTCATCATCAGGTTCGTAGCTACACTCTTTCTTTCAAACTATTATCATATTTAATCAATGAAATAATTTTATGCATTACAATTTCTATCATTATATGAAAAAAAAAAAATAGTCTCTTATTATGAGAAATTATTCCATCTTAACACACACACATCCCTCAATTTTTTTTTAATAAGAAATTGCCATCACTCCCAAGATTTTCTTTGTGTCTATATGATGGTCGTCATATCAAAATCATAATAATATAATTCTCCAATATTTAATATAAGATATATTTAACTAATTTGATTAGATTAAGGAAGTTAGATAAGTTAGTTAATTACAAGAAATATGGCATGTTTTTTCTAAAACACCATAATCATCTTTCTTAATAACCTCTTTCCATCTTCCACTTGGTTATGATTGAGAGAGTATCTATGGGTAATTTAGAAAATATTAATAAATATAAGAAATAGATCTCATATATAGGATCAAAATCAACTCAATAATTAGGTCTTATATTAAGGATTGGACGAATATTAAATAAGTGACATGTTATGGTAATATTAGAAGTTGAATAATTTTATAGAACTCGAGAGTAAATAATTTTCAGCATTTTCACATTTGTAACACATTATTTCTCATCATTATAAACATAATTAGCTGTAGTCTAATACACATTATCCAAGAACAATTTCGAAAATTGTGTAGAATATACAAGTTCATAGGTTTTTATTTTGTCCATGTCCCATTTTGATTAGGCTGCTAATTAATTGTTTCTTTTTTGTCAGATATAATTTGAAAGCTAGATAATGAAGGGGTGAGGATGAGCTTTGAATCTTCTAATGGTTTATTTATCTGCATTTGTGCTTCAATGAGTTGTATGTCGTTGAAAATGTGTTGGATGTGTATTACTGTGCTGAAAATGCATGAAAATTTAGATATAATTTTACTTTGAAGTTATGTAATTATATATAAAATACAATAATTGTGTGGCGCTTGTGCGCGCTACTTATTTTGTTTTGAATATTGTATCAATCAATAATTTCTTATCTTATTTTTTATTTCAATCTCAAATATTGTTGTTACTATTTAAAAAAAATACAATCACAATTCTATATTCATTTTTATGAAAAAAAAAATCATCCCAACAAAGGTTTCTCAAATTAAAAAAAAGGATAACAAATTTTTAAATTGTAGACAAATCTATTTTGAAGATTTCACCTATAACCTCTCCACACTTGCTTCATCCTTCGGAAGGATAAAATCATGTTAATGTTTATAAAACATTTTAAATGAAACTTTATAATTTACTCCAGCTGTAAAAAATTGTAAATTTTTAAAGAGTTGCCTGGATTTTGTACACAAATTAAAACAATTTTTAAGAGAAAAATGTCATGACATTAAAAGGATGATAAAATTTATGTAAATTTTATGAATAAAAATTCAACATTAATAAAATCAGATAAATTTGAAATATTTTTCATCAATGATAAAAGTTGCAAAATAAATAAGCTATCCAGTTACATAGAATATAACTTATATGTAATTTCAATATTTATGTATTTAACTTTATATGATAGTCTGTATTGATCAGTATTATGTTTTGTTTTAAGAAATTTCAAACGCATCAACTGGAGTTGTGAGCTTCGCCTTTTATTTGATAACTTTGATTGTCATAATTTTCATTCATGCAACTTAATTTTAAAAAATATTGTTAGGCAAGACATAAATAAGTTCCATTACAACTAAATTATTATATATATTTGGACATTTCAACAACAATGTATGTTATAATTTTCTTTATGTTTCGTTTATAAATATATGATATCTAATATTGTTAATTTGAGGACTATTAGATTTCATGATGAATTATATTGTGTTATAAAAATATAAGAATTAGATTATATTCAGCCTTTACAAGGAAAAATGATAAGTGATAACTATAAAAAGAATATGACAAAGCTTCCTAGTGTTTAATTTAACAATAAAAATACCATCCATAGTCCACTTGCTATAAACCAAAGTCCTGCTCATAGGTCTCTACCCCCCAATTCATCTCATAAAGTAATACTTTAGCAAATGTATGTGATAAATCCTGATTTTAATATGTTATTTAATATCTTTTTGGAGATATTTATCAATTAAAGTAGGATAATTTGAATTAATTGTGGATATTTTAAATTAAATACTGATTACATGAAATTAAAAATTTAAAAGGAAATCTTAACATATTTTTATCTCTTTTGAAATAATTAATTTTGGGCTTTATGATAGTACTCCTCCAATCCTAAATATAAGACCGTTTTTGTAGTGTAATTTATACTACAAAAAGGGTCTTATATTTAGGACTGGAGGAGTATATCGATTTATCTTTTGCAGGCCTAAAAAAAAGAAAAAAGATAATAGGAAAACTGAAAGGAAGGAAAAAAAAAGGCAATTGGAGACATTACTTGGCATCAAGCATCAGATGATTATATATTAATTGATTCATGAAACAAAAAGCACGCAATATCACGCCGCCAACCCTCCTTCATATTCGGTTCATATATATACCCACTCCCTCAATGCGGGAGTACAGGCCGCCAGTGTAATTACCAATTTGCACACCGCATTGACACAGCCTTCATATCCTTTATAGCCATACACGCACTGCCAACGCCAGTTCTCGCACACACGTTGCCACACACTGCAATTCCTCATCTTCAATTCTCATCTCTTCTTTTTGGCCAAGGACGTAACTGCTTCTTCTTTTATTTTTCTACGGCTAATCCTTCATATTCATCCTTCTATCCATAACCTTCATGGATTCTCACTCCTTCAAATATGTTGTGGATGCTGCTAGAGCCATGAGAAGCTAATTCTATTGTGCTTCTTAAAGATAGAGGAGTAGCTTAAGCTTGGAGCTTCAACTATGAGAGTATTTAGTTTTCTAATTAATTTTCTCTTGGACTTCATTAAATTTTTCCTGCGTTAGGATTCTTCTTATTTATTTAGAGATTTAGATTACGTGCTATATTTTCTGTTATTTGGATTTTTGCTATTTAGTTTGAGTTGTATTACTTGGAATTTGAATTTATGATATTTTCTTTGCATTCATTGAAATTATTTTATTTTGTATGTTGTTGGATTTTATGATTGAGATGTATTGTAATTGAATATCTCTGTGAGCATTCTTTGAGAAGAAAACAAGTTTTATTAACTCAATTTAAATTGCACATCAAGTCATTTTTAAAGGTGGCTTAATAATTTGATTACTATCTAGCGTTTAAAGTAGTTAAGTGTTAAGTTCACTTGACCAAACCGTGTTTGAAGTTGCTTTTTAACCTAGTGTATTATTTTACTCCCATATTTTTATTAAGCAATGATAGCTACATTCTGTTTTCAAGAAACATTCTCATCACTGATTTTGTAAAACACAAATTTGCAATTTCCATTATCTCTTTTCATTAAAAATACAAAAAAAAAAAGTAGTTTAGAATTATTTCTTTATTTTCATAATTAATTTTTTAAAACAAAAAAAAAATCCCTTTCCAAATCTTTCATTTTTAATACTTTTGTCACTTAGTTAACTTAAAAACTAATAAAAAGCTCCTCAAAAGACACGACCTGAGTTGTGCTTTACTGTATAATTTGGTTTTATTTTTTTTTTTTACCCAAGGCAACTAAAAAAGTTCAAATCAAGTAGCGCCATTGCTGAAGAACTAAGTAATTGGTTCCTTATAAACTAAGTGTCAGTTTTTTTTTTCTTGAATTTTTTTATAGTTTAGGTTGCATTTGCATATCATTAAAATTTCTTTTTTTCAAAAAAATTAAAATAAAATCCTGATTTATTTTTATTATTTTATTTTTTTAAAAAAATTCAAAAAAATCCTGATTTTATTTGCATACCTTGAGTGCATTCTGCATCCTTGCATTGATCTTCATTCATTTTCATACATTGTTGTGCTGAATTTTCTTTTGTGCATGACTAGAGATAAAGAAACCCCACTCAATGATCCTGAGCTTGACATGCCTTTGAAACAACTTAAAAGGAAAAATATGAAAAAGGGTCAAAAGAGTGATAAGGAACTTCTTTTAGAGCAGCACATTTCTAGTGTACCCAACCGAATTCTAGACATGGCTGATCATGCCGATAATAGGGTTAATGGTCAAAATAGTGGTAACAGAAATGGGGGCAATAAGGATAATAATGAGCCTAGGAATAATAGTGAAGATCAAAGGAGTCTTAGAGAAATAAACAACTCTACTGTGAACTTTGATCCTTATGGTTTTTACAATTTTAATGCCAATTTTGAAATTAAAGGTAATTCGATTAATGCTTTGCCTAAATTTTTTGGCCTTTTAGGAAATGACCCCTATGGACACATTGAGACCATAATGATGGTATGCTCTACCATAAAGCCCCAGGGTGCTGATAGGAAGTTTTGAGGAGAACTTTTTATTTCATCATGGAAGGAAAAGCTAAAGAATGGCTAAGAATACTTCCCCAGTACTAACTATACTTACCTGGGAGCAACTCAAGACTACATTTCTTGAAAAGTTCTTCCTTGCATCTCGGTCTTCTAAGCTTAAGAAAGCTATTTTTGGTGCACAACATGATAAAGGAGAATCTTTTTATGAATATTGGACCAGGTTTCTCACCATGATGGCTCATTGCCCTAATCATCAGATTTCCAAATCTAATCTGATTCAAACTTCTATAAGGGTCTTTTGCCACTTTATCAGAGAACCGTTAATGCTGCTGTTAATAGTTTGATACTCAATCTCACTCCACAAGGTGCTTGGGACTTATTTGAGAAAACTGTGACAAATAATCAATAGTATGGCACTAGAGATAGGCAATTTGTGAGGGAAGTAGCTTCTTCTTCTTCTAGTGATGAATTGAAGTTATTTATGGAAAAAATTGATGGAAGACTGGAGAGGCTAGAAAATGAAAGGGGCCTAAAACAATGTAATGTCATGGGTACTTCTCAAGCCCTAGTGGCCCAAAGTTGTGAATTCTATAGGTCCCCTATGTACCTTAGCAGTGTTTGCCCA